TTTTATTGGTTGCCTCTACTAGACGAGATTTGTCACCGAGGACAGTGTCCAGTTCAAGTCTGGGGGAGGATTCGTCTAACGCCAAACCATATCTAATTAGAGTAGTGTTCCATGCATTTTTCTCTTTTATTTTCACTTTTTAGTTGCATGTGATCTTATATGTCCTAAATACTATATGTAAATGCATAACCCTAATAACAACAAACTATATGATCCTAAAACATCCTATATGCACATGCAATTAAAAAGTGAAAATAAAAGAGAAAAATGCATGGAACACTACTCTAATTAGATATGGTTTGGCGTTAGACGAATCCTCCCCCAGACTTGAACTGGACACTGTCCTCGGTGTCAAATCTCGTCTAGTAGAGGCAACCAATAAGATGAGTCAAAAGAGAAGAAAATCCAAAAGAAAAAAGAATACTGAGCTCGCGATGTTTGTTCACTCGCACTTAAGTCTGCCTACGTCTATCACATAGCTAGCTTCCTCGCCTCCTCAATTCCTCATTAGAACTCAACCTGGTGATAAGAGACACAAACCAATATCCGATGCAAAAAGAAAAAGGAAGGAAACAAAACTAACCTAAGAACTCGGGTTGCCTCCCGGAAGCGCTTGTTTAGGGTCTTTAGCTTGACCAAACTCTCTCAACTACCAGATGGGTCTAACGGGCGAAGATTATCGATCTTCTGCCAACCTAGATCATGAAGTTTAAGAGCATCTCTACAACAAAATGAGTTTGAGAAATGAGGCGTACCTAGTAGAGAAAAATCTGGTGGTCTCAGCATATTGATGAATGCCGGTTGAAACTCAAAATTGTTACGGTCGATGTCAGGCCGGCGAATGCATGAAAGCTGCTGAATGTACTTAGGCTGAAGGTATGCCCCATAAGTGTCATTGTTGTTCTCAGCAACTATAGCACGTTCCTCCATCTTTCTTTGTTGTCGTTTCTTCTTTCGATTGCGCTTAGTAGAGTTCTCGATTTCAGGGTGAAGAGGTACTAGGTTGTCAGGCCCAGAACTCCTGGTCATACACCGTAATCCTGCACACCAGAAAGTAGAACAAACACAAAGAATAGATCAAGAAATCGAGGGAAAAGAAAAAGAAAAGAAAAAAAATCTAGATTCAAAGGAATCTTTATCCTAGCGCTAACCTATTCCCCGGCAACGGCGCCAAAAACTTGATAACGCAAATCTAGGTATAGA